GTCATGCCCGTGTTGGAGTCTGACTCCAAGGGACAGGAGGAACAGCCAACAGGGAGTGTGGCTCTGGAGGTTGTGGAGGAGGCTGGGGAAGGGCAGAGGCCGGCTGGGCAGTCAGAGGAAGACCCAGGTCCATCCCCTCTTTATCCTAGGGCACGCAGGGAGGAATGGAGAAGGGAACAACATGGCCTATGGGAGAGGAAGCGGCCATGATCCCCCTCATTGGTTGCAGCTGGAGGGAACAGTATAATGGAGAGGCGTTTAAAACACAGCATTGCTAGAAGCAAAGCTTCTTCTTTTATTTCTGGCTGAGGTTTAACTTGGTTGGCATTCTTCCAACAGACTGTGCCTTATTATCTTCTTGAAGTTTGTAATTAATTATCCTGGTCTGTCATGGAAATTTCTTCAGTGGGTTTTTTATTTCTCTGTTATCTGTTCTTTGAGTTTGGACTGTATTTCTTTCATTTGGAGACTATTTTGGAAAGAGATTAATCTCCAACTGTGAACAGTTGAACAGTGAGGCCAAGTTGGAGGCATTAAAGGAAATTTATTTACGTTTGGGAATTTATTATGTGTGTGCTGCTTCCCAGGTCCTCACAGTTGAGGACTACCTGTCATCACATTTCTGCAAGCAAACCACCAAGTTCAGAGAGGATCCTGGATCCAGCTCATTTCTCAGCAACAGATATTTTTGTCTGTTAACACAATCCTCTTCTTAGAGGCAAGTCCCTTTGCACGTCTGATGTCATGCCCCCATTGGAGTCTGATTCCGAGGAGGAAGATGAACAGCTGACAGGGAGTGGGAATGTGGCTCCATTGGCTGTGGAGGAAACTGGGGAAGGGCAAAGTCAGGCTGTGCAGAGCAGGGGAGAGGTAGAACAAGGGAGAGGGGGTTCAGATGAAGACCAAGGCCCATCTCCTCTTCATCCTAGGGTGCGCAGGGAAGAACACAGAAAAGAGCAACGTGAGTGGCTTACGGGGGAGGAAAGGGCCCTGATTCCCTTCACAAGGCACACTTGGGGATGGAGTTTAAAGGAGAGGCAGTTGGGAGGGATGTTTGTCGGGAACAAACGCTGAATTCATCTAGTGTTGAGAGTTGTGGCTTGCATTCCTAGCAGTCTTCCTGACCGTTTGAATTATGGCCGTGCTTCTGTGTGCTTATCTTGCCTTGCTGGAATTATTGCTGTGATTCTTCGCTTCTTGGACTCATTACCTTGCCCTGCTGGAGTGATTAATTGCAGTCATTCTGCTCACAGCGTTTGGACGGAGTATCTGCAGCCAGAGGCTGTTGCAGTTTTGTGGGAGAGCTTTTCTCCAAGCTGGAGAGTAACTGAAACATTGGGGGCAAAGTTGGAGCAAATAAAGGGACTCGTACCTGTTCTCTGGCTGTGTTGCCTTTGTGCCACACCCCAGGTCCTCGCATCTGAATCACTTGCACTCTTGTAATAAAGCACATTCCCGCCCTCAAAATATGGGTTTGATTTAAAAAAAAAAGATTTGTGACTGCTACAAAAATGGCAAAAAAGGAACAAGGGTAGGGGGAAGCTCTCTCCCATTTTGATTAAAATAAAATAAAATCATCAACCTTCCCCGAATCACAGTCTTGAATTTATCTGTGCTGGTTAACGGTTGCAATAAAGTCATTGACTAGATTTTGTTTTCAAACCAGGATATAAACGACACAGAAACTAACCTGAACTAAGAAAGAAAAAAAACCAAAAACCACCAAATGCATCTGCCAACTCTATTCAAATATTAACAAGGTACAGTTAAAACTTTTGTAACTTATGCAAATGCGATTGCCAGTACAAGGTGAACGGAGAGAATCCCTGAGAGGCAGAATGAACACAAAAATCAACAAAGTGAAAAGATCAACCCTCCCTTCCACCGCCTGACAGCAGGAGAGAAGAGGTGGCAGTCTGGGAATTGGAGAAGAGGAAGAAAAGAAAAAAAATACACATATGCAGACATCCGGCCATTGTTGGTGAAGTTTAAGTGCATTGTGTTTTATAGCTTCTCAATCTAAGAAGCCGAAAGGAAGCGGGAGTGATATTGGGGAAGAATTTTAAAGCCTATTAACATACAAAGAGCGAGTCATGCCAAGAAAGAGAACGATTGGGGTGAGCTCTTAAAAACTCCTTTGGAAAAAAGAAAAAAGAAAAGAAAAGAAACCAAAATGTTGGAATTTAGGAAGGATGCAACACCGGAATGCTTATTCACTTCCGAGCAAGCACCTTGCTGAAGGTCAGTTCTTGCCTCTTGGAGGCTATTTTAGTAGCGGCTAATCTAGGACCTACTCTCTCTAAAAAGGAAAAAAGAAAAACGTCCTTTTTGCATAGAGCCAAACTCACATCTGTTCAGCCACAGATTGCTAGAACAGGAGGGTGCAGGCATCCAAGAGGGAATGCCCGGAGTTCTTGTGCCAGAGGCTGGCCTCAGGTATTTAGAAGCATCGGGGGAACACGAACTGCAGCTGTCACTGACACCCCTGCTGTGAAATGGCGAGGCAAGATTAAAAACAGACGCACAAAAAAACCCCAACCTCCAAACGCAACCTCAAAGAACTGCAGAAGGAAAAGAATTGAACTGGGTCATTTGGGTTAGAATCAACCCCACCCTGCTGTACGTGTTGGAATCATGATTAACCAAGGACCAAAGCTGTCCATTAATGGGCTAGGCTTGGGGCAACCAGGAAACAGAGACCATCACTGGTCTGCATTGTCAAGCAATGGAAGAGATGGAAAAACCAATGACGATGATGATGTTGATACCTAGTTTAGATAATGATACACCTGCAAGAAAACCAGCAAACTCAGAGAGCACCAACCCCTCGTGTAAACCCTGAGCTACAAATGGTCTACTTTTATTAAACCCATACATGGGTTTATACCACATCTGCAGACCTATCTTGGTGCCCATGTAGGCAGTGCTCCAGAGGTGGTATTCAACAGGTTCTAACCAGTTCTGGAGAACCGGTAGTGGAAATTTTGAGTAGTTTGGAGAACTGGCAAATGCCACCTCTGACCGCCCTGTCCCCATCTCTTCTCTGCCTCCTGAGTCCCAGCTGATCTGCTGAGTCTCCTTTTGTTGCCCTGCACAGGAGAATGGAACTGGAAAGCAGGTTAGTGGGGTGGGGGAAGGAATGGGATTTTGCAGTATCCTTCCCCTGCCACGCCCACCAAACCATGCCTACAGAACCAATAGTAAAAAAAAAATTGAATCCTACCACTGCAGTACTCATATGAGATTCTGAAGATGACCAGGGAATGTTTAGGCCACAGAAATCTACCACTTTGTTAGATGCAAAAGATTTGTTTGAAGGTGCCAGAAAAGATGGCTGTCCAGCAAAGGAAAGCTCACTGCATCTCTCAGTCATTGGTTAACCTATTCTTAACATTAAAGCATTTCTCACATGTATCTGAGGTCTTTCTATAACTCTACCCCTAGTTCCATATCTTGAGAGGCATAATCTCATAATATCTCTCTCTCTCTCTCTCTCTCTCTCCGTTTCCATAGGGATGTGAAGAACCTCAAATCCAAATCCAAAAATCTTTCCTCAAAACAGGCACACAATGTTCCTGTGGACGCCTCCTTCAAGAAGCTGCATCCTTTACAGAACTCCCACAATAGCAACGCAATCCCAGGAAAATGCACAATTAAGGAGGTGACAAGCCTGAAGCTCTCATCTCACCTTGTTCTTGACTTAATTGTCTACCGACTATTGAAAGCCTGGGAAAACACGCAGCTTCTTTAAACAGGTGCAGGCAGGTGTAGCATGCAGACTCATTCTTGCTCTGAGATTATCTTTTTGGCTTTGGACCTAAAGGGGTGAAGATCTCTACTTTTTCTATGTATTTGAAGAGCCAACTCTTCCATCCCTTCCATCAATTTCCAATTCCTTCATATTTTTCCATGTGTCTGAATCTTTCTTAGTGTAGTATCCAACCAGCATCATCATACATAAACAGTTTCTGCTAAAATCATTTCCACTTCATTTCTTTGTGGCTTAGCATTTGTTGGTTAACTGAGCAAGATTTAATCATGCGAACTGAATCTGTAGACCAAAGTAGAAGAGCCACAGGCTTCCCATCTCATCTGTGAATTGGCAGAAGCAAAACTTGGCTAGTCTTCTCCAACCTGGTAGGTCCCCAGGTGTGCTCAGAGCATAACCGCCAGAATTCCAAATCACTCATAGCTGTAACATATATATGGAAGGCGCCATACATGGAGACTGCCAGGTTGGTGAAGAATTGTTTATACATATGTATATATTTGCCAGACTTGGGCAGGTCAGTCCATTTGAATGTTAATTTCACACGTCTTCATTCATACCTTGGCTCCATTTCCACATTCACTTCAGCGTGTGAACAACTGCCAGATTTTTCCATTTCTAAAAAGCAAAATGCCTCCCTTCTTGAAGGCCTTTTCTCCTAAATTTCACTTTTTAAAAAATTCCCAATCATCTGAAGTTTGGGTTGCATTGAAAAATCTAGAGAAATGAAACATTGAAATCCTGCCTTCTAATCTGTGTATTAATCTGGGAGCTAGGAAGACATCCACTGAACTTAGTTTATTGATGCAGAGTGAAGAGAAACTTTGACCAAACTTCTCCAGGTAGCACTGAATGAGACAGAGAATTGTGGTATTAAGGAGAGGTCTTTATGCCCCTGGCTTCTTCCAGTCACAACTGCCTTCCTGAGCTTTGAACCATATCCAGTCTATAATATGACTATATATATAGCATTTTGGATGCTCAGGTAAAGAACCCTTTGGGTGGTCAGTAACTTCACCTGAAAGAAAACCAGAATTTCAGGAGAGATGGGGAAGGAGAAGTGAAGGAAGAAAAGGAAAGAACAGGGAACATGATGGTTGAGTTTTTGTATGCTAATCCTTCCTTAAATTATTAAACTAGGGGAAGAAATTATTTACATTGTGCTTCCGTTGCATTGCAGTGCACGCTGCCAAAAGAAATTCTCACAGCGCGTGATTAAACTTGTCGGACCTTATTTATTTATGGCGCCTGGTTTCAGGAGGTTTTGCAGTTTGCACTCGAGGAGGAAAAGAGAACTTCCTGTTATCACAGGAACAGAGGAACGTAGACGGAGATTGCCTTGATACCTGCTCGCAATTAATTCATTATTCGCAGATAATCGCACTGGATACTTCAAAAGGAATTTGTACACAATCGTTTTCAGGGGAAGAAAAAAAAAGAGCCATACCTGAAGTTCAGTCTGGAAAAAGAACTTCTGTGGACACTGCGAACAATCATAAATTTTGTCCTCTTGTCCGTGGACAGCAAAGATATGTTGCTGTAATTTATTTGCCTGTACAAAAACTAAAGAAAAAAAAAACAAGAACAAAAGAAAATAAGAATAAGGTCAGAGAAACAAGGAAAATAACCAAGGACACTGTCTTTGAACATTGTCTATACCTTTGACTTGATATAAATATGACCCCAGCAAACCTCTTTTTATAGGGAATGATCCAAAATAGGTTGTGTCTTTGTTTTCTTTTCAACTTGTTTGTTTAAAAATAAAGCACCAAGGGTCAGATCCAAAGTAAGTTAGATTCACATAGATAACACTGGACCAAATGTTTGTTTAACTGTGTTTGGTTGATCCTGACACCACTGGCTGTTTTTATCCAGAATATGCTAAAAAAAAAAAAAAAAAGGCCACAGCTAAAACCACTGGATAAATTAGTAGGCACTATGCCAAAAAAACAAAACAAAACAGAGAACCAACAATTGTGTGTCTTCACATAATGGAGGAAGTCAGTCAATGAGGTTTTATGATGCACATTTTTTCCTACTGATCTCAGTGGGACTCATATAGAATAGAATTCTTTATCGTCCAAGTGTGATTGGATACACAAGGAATTTATCTTGGTGCAAATGCTCTCAGTGTACATAGAAGAAAAGATACATTCGTCAAGAGTCAAGAATCACCAGGTACAACACTTAATAAGAGTTACAGGGTACAATAAGCAATCAAATCATACTAGGAAACAGTCAATAAAAATCGTAAGGATACAAGCAACAAAGTTACAGTCATACAGTCATAAGTGGGAGGGGATGGGTGATAAGGAACGATGAAAAGATTACTAGTAATTGTAGTACAGACTTTATAAATAGTTGGACAGTGTTGAGGGAATTATTTGTTTAGTAGAGTAATGGTGTTCGGGGAAAAACTGTCCTTGTGTCTACTTATTCTGGTGTGCAGGGCTCTATAGCATATGATGAGGATTCAACCCAAAATATATGCTTCTTTTCCCAACGGGCTCTAATATCCTAAAATAAAAATTTACAGAAAGTTCAGGGCAGTTAAGGAGAGCTAAATATTTGTTTCCATGGCACTTAACCATTTTTTAAATTTTTTTAGAAAACAACCCACAAATAAGGCAAATTACTAAGTTGAGTGACGTCTAAAGAGTTCACCTTCCAGTGCTCTCCGCACCAACCTAAACTGAATTAATGCTACCAACGTTTAGCTTTTAATCTTTTCTCCGTAATGGGTAATAGTTACAAGAGACGCTAAGTTTATTTATAAGGCTAAAACATAATATGAGATATTGGTGACTTAGTAGCAGTTCTTAACTCACTTTTTGTGAGCCCGTTGATGGTTTAGCATTGTGCATTAAGCAGGCTATGATGGCTTATTTAATAACCTGACATGTTATGCTGAACGGACGTGTCTATGATGGAGTATGGATAGATATATACAGGTAGCCCTCAGCTTACAACAGTTCATTTAGTGACCATTTAAAAGTTACAAAGGCACTGAAAAAAGTGACTTGTGACCATTTTCACACTTTTGCAATGACTTCCCCATGGTCACATGATCAAAATGTGGCTGGTTGGCAACTGGTTCATACTTACGACGGTTGCAGGGTCCCAGAGTCCTGTGATCACTCTTTGTGACCATCTGATAAGCAAAGCCCATGGGGAAGCCAGATTCACTTAACAACCGTATTATGAACCTAACAACCACGATGATTCACTTAACAACTGTGGCAAGAAAAGTTATAAAACGATGTAAAATTCGCTTAACGCGTGTTTCACAGAAATTCGGGGCTCCATTGCAATCGTACGTCAAGGACTTACCTGTCATATGTGAACATTAAAAAAATAATAATTTCTCAAGTTTGGGCAGGGCGACTTTCCTACAGCAATCATCCCTGTGCCTCTCCCACTTACTAGCTGGGAATTGTGGGTTTTTTATCCAGGATATTTGGAGAAGAATCATCCCAATGCAAGCTAACAAGGCTGGCAATTCTCCTTCTTCCCTACTGAGGTCAATCTCTGTCCCACACTGTAAATTACTCCACTTATTTAGAAACGATATTGAAAGGCTTGAGTCTATGATGGGGGAGAATTAAATGAGCTAAAGTGGAAAGTACAAGGGTGGGAAAGAGATTGCCTTCCAGGTACTACTAGTTTGAAAAAGAAAAAAAAGGATATTCTATTTTCTTGCCACAGTTTCTCCTCCCCGATCCTTCCAGCTTGCACGAAAAGGAAAGAGCGTGTTTTAAAAATTCCCCCGTGTGTCATTTCTGGATCAAGCCACGCAGGCGTACGAGTGCTTGTCTAGGAGCACCTGTCTTACCTGTAAAACAAACAGGGCATTTGAATGTCCCTCCCATCCCCTCGAAGCTGTGCTCAATCAGGTGACACAGGAGCTTTGCTGGAGAGTCAAACATCTGGTTACAAAGCTTGCATTCGTGATTGATGCCTTCCTCTGCAAGGTTCAAATGATACAACTTGTTAGTGACACAGCAGATTAGCGTCTGAAGCGCAGGATTCGGTGAGAAATCACAAATGCCAGTTCAGGCGGCTTTGGGAGGACGCACCTCTCCCTCCAAAAGCAGGTGTATGGCGCGCGCAACGCTTCTGAAGCGCGTTCCGGCTGTACCGCCTCCAGTCAAATTGGAGGGGCATTTCTATGCGCCACTTGGATGAAAGCGACGGTGCGAGCTAGCCTCTGGTAGACTAGGTTGTCCCGGTTTCCCAAAAACACGCGTGACAATGCGGTGTCTACACTCATCTAGAGGAGGGAGGGGGGGAGGAAAAGAAAGAAGGGAGGGAAGAAGAAAAGAAAAGGGAGAGAGGGAGGAAGGAGGGAGGGAGAAGAAAATAAGAAGGAGAGAGGGAGGGGAGAAGGAAAGGGGAGGGAGGGAAGGAAAAACAGAAGTTGAAGGGAGGGGGAGGGAGGGAAGAAGAAAAGAAGAGAAAAGGAGGGAGGGAGAGAGAGGAAGAAAGGAGGGGAGGGAAGGGAGGGGAGAAGAAAAGAAGAGGGAGAGAAGGAGGAAGGAGGGAGGGAGAAGAAAATAAGAAGGAGAGAGGGAGGAGAGAAGAAAAGGGGAGGAAGGGAAAAAGGAAGTTAGTTGAAAGGAGAGGGAGGGAAGAAGAAAAGAAAAAAGTGGGGGGAGGGAGGAAGAAGAGGGAGAGAGGAGGGAGGGAGAAAATAAGGAGGGAGGGAGAGGAGAAGAAAAGGGGAAGGAAGGAAGGAAGGAAGGAAGGAAGGAAGGAAGGAAGGAAGGA